GAAAACACTGGAAAAAACCACTCATTTGTGAAGACATGGAACAACAGGAGCTCTTGTCCATTGTTGATAGGAACACAAAGTAGTAGAGTCACTTTGATAGACATTTGATAATGTCTCATGAAACTACTTATGTTCTTCCCACATAAACCAATAATGTGCTCCTTTGTACTTACCCAATTGATTTGAAAACATGCCCACACAAAACCTGTACCTGCATGTTTATAACAGCTTTATTCATATCTTCCCTGGATTTGAAGAAACAGACAAAATGAAAGGACAAACTCTAATGCATTTCACATAGTGAAATACTCTCTGGTGACAACAGGAAACATGCTATGATGCCAGGATGAGGAAAAACCCCAGATGACTGTTGTCAGGAGATAGTAAAAAGATCATTGGTTTCTAGGAGCTTGAAAAGATGGAGAGAAAAGAAAATATGGAGCACAGGGCATTTTTGTAGGGCAGTGAAGCTATTGTGTATATTATGATATTAATGGATACATGCCATTGTATATAGTTTAAGCTCTATAGAAGAGTTTACCCTTGTCTAAACAATGGATTCTAGTTAATACTGTAGATAAAATGGCATCTGAATTATAGCAAAAGTATCACACTAAGGCAAAACATAAATGATAGGTAAAACTGGGATGAAGTATATGTGAGAGAGGGGATATATGCTAACTGTGCTTATTTGGGCATTATTTTGCTCCAAATCAGAAACTACCTTGAAAAATGTCTATTGATAATTTTTTGGAAGTACTACAAGTAATATATAAAGAAGCAGCAGCAGCAGAAGCTATCCTTGATACCAAATCAAAACAATGAAGTACAAGATATAAAACTTATGATCAATAACATTCATAAAGTATAAAAAATTGCATCAAACAAAATATCCAAAAAATTGAATTGAAAATCATGCTTAGTTTTAGGAATTTAAAGAAGATTTATGATTGAAAAACTGAATTAATTTATTAATCACTTGAAAGAGAAAATTATATGGGAAGATCAATGCATGCAAAAAAATTCTGATACAAATCAGTCTTGATTCCTGATAAAAATATAGCAAATTATGACTATAAGGATTATTCTCTTTAATCTGAACAGATTATCATAACAATCTTCTATAAACATTAAAGAAAATGTGAACTGTTGAACTCTTTTCACAATTGGGACTAGACAAGAATATTCAACATTTATACTCAATATCCACTAAAACTGAATTTAATATTTAGATTTAAATTTTTGACATTTATACTCAGACCACTAATTAACAGAGTAATGAAATAGTTCAAGGAATACGAATAAAGAAAAAAGTATATTATTAGTGGAGTGCTAACAATACTATAATTGCTAATATTTCATAATTGTTTTTTGAAGAAGTATGAACTAATAAAATTGAACTGGAATTGTAGATGATA